CTCCCTTCCCCTGATTTTTCTTCCTGACTATCACTCAGTGGCAGTGGATGAAGGAAAGGGAGTGCATTGATCTGCCAAAGTGAGCAGCCATTTCACATGGCGAGTCTGTGCAGCTCTCCTGTCCCTGAAAGGGAATTGCTCATTTCACCTGGCTGCCTTGCGTCTATAGCAGACGGGTGGGAAGCCATGCTGGAGAGACGCAGAGGGTGGGGGAGTAGGCGCAGAAATTGGAGCCCTGGTCAGAGCTTGGCAGGTGGCAGATAAGAGGCTGCATGAACTTAGCTCTGCTGCTGGAGCTCAGCCTCTGTCTTTCACAAAGCAACATCTAAACAAACACACACACACACACATACAGACACCCAGCATCTCTCCACAGATGTGGGGCACTAATAATAACTTAGGCATTCTGGTGAGTCAGCCTTCTTTCCTCAGGCAAGGATAAAAGTAAAACACGGTGCCTTTATTGAGTCTGAATTCACTAACTGTGGAATTCCCAGAACAGAGCATTAACTCAGCCTGTATTTTATTCACTGCCAACATGCCATGTGTCCACAAGATCTAATACTGTCTGCAAAGCAGACACTGATGAACTAATAAACAACTCAGAAAGCTGGTTATGACATCTTACTGTCCTGGGAATGAGAGCTAAAGGGTTCATTTCTGTCCAAATGCCTTGGCTTGTCTCCATGTTATTGTGAATTAAATATTTCATATTTTACCTAGTATATACCTTGACTTACACTGCTACTGTAAGTCAAAACTCATTCTAAAGTAAACCCAGCTGTTGCCTGTTTTTTTTAATACCATTTGTTAGTATTTAGACAAGACTTTGAGCTATGTTTTGGGTGGAAAGTGGCTGTAAGGTGAATTTAGAGAACAACGTTCAGAGTATCTCCTTAACGGGAGCCCCGAAATATTGTTTTTTGTTTGTTTGTTTGAAGAAATACAGAAAAATGAGCTTTTTTTTTTTTTTTTTTTTTTACAAGAGTCAAGATTGGGTTATTTTTGCTCTCCAAGATAGAAAAGGGTTAAGTACCCAGAAGGAATGGTCTGATCTGAATGTTATTTATCACAGATATAGACTAACAATGGGTATGTAAATGATGGACTTGCTATGACCAAGAACATCTAGATAGAACAAGTTTCAAAAAGCATAAGTGGTGGCATGAGTACAACAATAGGTTTATCAGGCAATTGGAGTGTCTGACATCCAATCGGAATTGAATGAAAGTTAGCAGACACAAAAGGATGCCCCATAAACACATAGAAAATGCATTGTGGGATTTTATGCGACTGTGTGTCATATCATTCAATTGATCAACATGTGGAGTGTACATATGTCACAATGGCCTGATTTTGGAGCCAATATACGTTCCAAAATCAGGAACGTATGTGTGGGATAAGCGATTGCATGGAGTTTCCAATTGCCCAAAACAGACAACACCAAACAAGACAAGCATGACAGAAAGTCATGACATCTGTATTTGCCATCAAGACACAAGCATTAGATTATGTATACACAGTGTTTATAGAACTGGCATTGGCTGGGCTACAGGTTCACTGTCCCATGTGTAGGCTGCAGGTAACACCTGAGATACAAATTAAATGTCTGCATTTGGTGTTAATCCTGTCATTATGGTATAGGAACCTGTAGGGTATGCCTTTAGGCAGTGGTGGGCACAGCTGACCAAGATGTTAGCTTTGCTAGCCCATATTCCAGTAACTAAAAAAATAGTTTAGCTAATGCTAAACAGGTAAAAAAAAAAAATTGTGGATGCTAACGCTAAACTGCTAACCACTAAGATGACTGTCACTCAGTTTGCGTCACATCTTCGTCTCCTTCCAATTTAAGTTGAGTCAACTAATCACGTACCGTCACATGCACACATAGTAAGCCAATAGTGTGCCAAATGGACACTTTGAGACGTGTCCACAACAGACAAACCAGCTTGTGAATGTTGTTAAGACAAAATTGGTGAAACCTAAGTTAGTGGAAGCTAATTCTGCTAAGGGTTTCAAAAGTTAGCGAAAACGCTAATCTTAAGTAAGTACGTGCTATGTGTTGTCATCATTGTATGTTTCCATACAATGACAAAACTGGTTCTCTGTATTTAACCCATCACACATGAGATACACCCAGGTGGAGCAGTGGGCAGCTATGTAAGTGCCCAGGGAGCAATTAGGGATTGGTTGTCTTGCTCAGGGACACCACAACATGTGGGATTGGCAGGGAGTTAAATCATGACTTTCTGGTCCCAAGTTGGCTGCCCTACCTTTACACCATCTCATCCCCAATAAAAATTATAACATGATTAATAATAATAATTGATTAATATTCAAAATGATGTTATGCTATTACAGTAGCTTTTAGCATATTAGTGGGACTGTGCCCACCACAAACTTTAGGTCACCTCTTTTAGTAATTTGGGGGATCCTGGTGGCGCAACATTGTCAGTGAGATCTGTCTCAATATTGTACCCCTCTTAAGATAGTAACTTGACAGTTTCTCAACATGATGGTGCCTGTTTCATGTTGAGGTCCAGGAGTAGCCAATTCTTTTTTTTCTAATTGGATAATTGAGGGATCAGCTTGAATGTTAACTCCAAACCTGGGAGGATCTCTTGAATCTCAAGTGTCAGTTACAACTGTGAGCCAACATGCCACAGGAGAGGAGAGAACGACTGTATAACTCAGTTCCATACGAAAACACTGCTTGTATCCAGGCTTGGTATTGACATGGGACCAGCAGTGCACTGTACCTGCACTTCCAGTCAGGTTTTCATTTGATCAGATATTGTAATTAAAACATGACATGATTGCATTGTAACATGCCCTGCAGTTTTCTATTATCCCCACTGGTTCACCAGGGTGCTTAACTGTCTTTGTAAATGATGTTCAATAGATATAGAATTTCTATCGAGTCAGACAAAGGAATTTAGGGTCTAATTTTTGTTGAACCGTGCTTCATGTGCCACCAAATGACAAATGTTCTGTGAAAGAGAGGGTTCATTGTATTAATTTACAGATAAACTGTAACAGCTATTAAACAATGAATTTTTATTTTACTCAATATGTACTGGTACATGTATTTTACTACAGATAGATAAAAGTACAAATCGGTGGGGTAAAAAACCTGCAAACTGAAAGTACTTAAAATGTTTTAATTGCAAATGATAAATTCCATTAATCTTCACAGTTATATAGTGTAGGACTAAAGTATTGCAAAACTCTGCAAATCTAACTGAAAGTGACAGTTATCACTTGACACTTGAACAGAATACAAATGTATTTTATTGTACCTCTATTGAGGTAATTTATCCAATGAGTGCTTCATGATTTCTATTTTAATGACATCTTTCTCCTATTTCAAGGATTTCTGAAATATTCTCTATCATAATAACTGAATCTGTCAAAACCAGATGTGACATATAAGTGAAGCCTTCAGCCTCTTAGTATCCGGTTCACCTCTCCGTCAGCCCCTCCACATCTTTCATGTGTCCGAAACACATTCCATCCAGCCACTTCATTCCCCCACTTCATCCTTCACATGTTCTTAAATTTATTTCTCCATATCTCTCCCTCCTGGTCAGCCCACTTCCCTCCCTCCATCCGGCCTATCTCTGCACTGCTCTCCTTGCTCTGTGACAGTCTCATCACACTCTATCAATCAAGCTTCTGAGGCCCAGGCGCGGTGCGGCAGCAGCATTGCAGAGTCCAAGTCTGGTCCCATCAGTGCCAGTCAGTCTCTCAGTCACTTTAAAAAGGTTTAGGTTGCCAGATATAGTCTGTTCCGCGTGTGCAGCTGCAGGTCTGGAGATGGGAGGGATCGCACTCGAGACGGGAATCAGCTTAGCACTTGATTGGATCTCACTTGACATATTCTCAGGGCTGTCTCAACCCTCAAGACGGGCAATTTCTCTTCATAACAAAGACGGATTGGCTTAAGTCCTCAGCTGATGAGCTTAAAGACATTAATAAGGCACAACATGTGAGCACCCTTAATGCATCGCATGAAGTTAAGCCAGACAAACCAAAGCAGAGGTCAAAAAGGCAATTATGAATGACTAACTGGAGGTAAAAATGCACTGATCCCAGTTTTCTTAGCCAATTCCATGTCTGACTTTTGTAACGATTTGACTTGTAAAGTACTATAAATAATACAGTATTGTTCAAAATACCCACCACTACTCTCAATTTATGGATGAACTTAATAGTTGATTGTGCTCAAAATGAAATGGTTACAGTAAATGCCAGAATTTTACACAAAATAATGGGTTTTTAGAGCACAGTTATTTTTGCCACTGAAAGTGCAACAAAGCACATTGGTATAAAACAAATCTTAGATCAAGCTTGAGTCAAGATTCAGCTTAATGCTTGATTAGACATCACAGTACAAATACTGGAGGCTGTCTCAACCCTTAAGATGGGCAGATCCTCTTTGTAATGAAGATGGATCGGCTTCAATCCCCAATTGAGGGGTTAAAAGGCGTTAAGAAAGCGTGTGAGTACCTTTAATGCATCGTGCAAAATTTTGGAAAAACAAACCAAGACTGGGACCAGAAAGCCAAAAGTAAATGACCAATCAGTGAAAAGGATGTGCTGACCATTTCTTGTTGCCTGAGTCCAATTTTAAATTTTTGTAAAGCTCTTTTAGTAGCATAAATCACAGCATATTTAATTGTGTGCTCATAATGAAATGAGGCCTTTACAGAATATCTGTCAGCAAAAAGCTACAAATACTATTCTACAAGTTATTAGATTTATATGAACAAGTAAAACAACATTCAGTTTAGTGCTTCATTAGATATCACTCCATTGTATTTTTTGGCCTGTATCAACTCACAAAGAGCAATTTCTTTTAAATCAGAGTTAAATCAGCTGACGACATTAGTAAAATACAACATGAGAGCAGAGTAGCATCAAATGTAGGCACACAAATCAAACAGAGGTCAAAACATATTCCTGGACCCATTAATTGTCTATTCTTCTCAGCTTCTTACCTGCCGCAGGCCTCATCCTGTGGTTGACATCTCAGGAAAGAGAACTGAATAAATGAGAAAAGCAGAGAGGAACAGGGATTAACATCTTAATCAAGCTGTCGATCTGAAGTACAAAAGAATACTTTTTTTTTACTCTCAGCAAACAAGGAGGGCTTACAAAATTAAAGCACCACACTTATTAGGTACAGAGATTTTCTAAAACAAAATTTTATATGTGTCTATATGTTTAAAATGCTTATGTCTACTGTAGGTAATACACAAAACGATTACCGTAATGTCCGGAGTATTGAGCACACCTGAGTACAAGCCACTCCCACTAAATAAAATTTAAAAAGTACATATATAGGCCACACTAGTCTACAAGCCACGGGTGTCCACGTTGTAACATGAGATTCAGATTTTTTTTAAAAACATATAATTAAATACATATCGTATCAATTACGTACAGTAAATTTATTTCATTCTTTTTTTTTTTTTTTTAACAGTGCCAGTAACACGGCTGGTTAAAAAAAAAAAAAAGTACAGTCGCCTACCAGAACGTCATTGATTGCTATCTTCATCTTCCTTCTGCCTGCCTTAGCCCGTCAAAAAAAAATAAAATAAAAAATAATAATAATTATATATATATATGTATATAAAGTCCATAAATTAGCCGCAGCATTGTATAAGCTGCTGTGTTCAAATCATGTGGAAAAGTAGCGACTTATAGTCCAGAAATTATGGTATTTCACAATAAAATCTTAGTTGATTAAACAAAAATAAATCTTAATATTAAATTATAATTTAAATGTAACCACTGTTTCCTTTAAATATACAACCACTTGGGCTTGTGAATCATTCTGGTAGTAAAAAATAGAAATATTTTATTTTTATATTTATTTATTGTCCTTAGAAATATTTCTTAGGCTGTTCTCTTGTAGAATTTATTTATGTATTTATTTCCTGAGATTTGGCTGTACCCACACAAGCCTGTGGATTAATGTTTTTTTGTAAATGCTTAGCTGGTTATTTTAGCAGCAGAGAGAAATGTGCTTAGGGTGGTTGGAACAAAAATGAGTTTCTTCTGGTTTTAGCTGCAATGGACAAGCTTTAATTCACCTCATTTTCTTTTAAAACTTCATTATGGGGCTTTATGGCAGTCAAGTAAGATTGTGTGCAATGATAGTTATGAATGTCATGATTATAGTTGTCTCTCTGCCCCAAACTCCTCACTGGAGTTAATCCAGAGTCAATTTTCTGTGTGAATGTGGAAAGTTGATTTAGCTTTTATTGTAAAAGCACAATTGAAAGCATTCAAGCTAAATTTCATAAACCCATTTTTCCAAAAGACTATGCAGAATATGTTGAAAAAAGTAAAATTTTGATTTCCGTTTTCTTTGGACTTTTCGCTTTCTTTTTCAATTTCTCTCAAGTCCTGCATATTGTGCATTGTATGTTGAACAAAAAAGTAGAGTGGACAAAAACAAAAACAACAATTTGAAGGGCTTAATTTGTAAACTAATTGATGCTGGAACAAAAACAGCAGGTGGTCCGGTGTGGGTCCTCCCCCAGAAAATTTTGAATAAAAGAGATGCCATTTCCTGAAATCTGCATCTCCATACAGATCCTCAGCAGAAGGATTCATGAAGTCCTCTAAAACATTCTGGTAGACTGTTGTGGTGGTCTTGGATTTAAGAAAGCAGAGTTTATCAACACCTGCACCGGACATTGCACCCAAATCATGACTGACTGTGGATATTTCACACTGGACCTCAAGCAGTATGGGCTCTGTTCCTCACCCTTCTTCCTCCAAACCCTTGGACCTTCATTTCCGAATGAAAGGTACACTTTCATCGGAAAAGAGGACCGAGAAACCCGACAGTTGTAGCCCATCTCCCGGATGTGTCTGAATGTGGTGGTTTTTGAGCTGTGACTCCCGCCTCATTCCACTCTTTCTGGATCTCTGCCAGATTCTGGAATCTTCTCTGTTTGATAATCCACTGAAGCCCACGGTCATCTCTTTTGCTGGTGCATCTTCTCCTGCCACATTTTGCCCTTCCACTAGACCTTCCATTGATATGCTTGGACACAGCACTCTGTGAACAGCCAGCCTCTTTAGCTATGAACTTTTGTGGCTTACCCATCCTATGGAGGGTATCAATGATGATCTTCTGACCAGTTATGTCTGCAGTCTTCCCCATATTGAACTGAACTGAGACAATTGAACCAAACTGAAGCAATTTAATGACACCTGGGGAAACCTGTGCAGTTGCTTTGAGTTTAGTAGATGATTAGTGTGTCGCACTCGGTTTAAAACATTCATGACCTGCAAAATTTGGGCTGATTTCTCCACAGTATTCTGATTTTTTTAAATCCTGTTTTCGTGGGTTTCGTGAGCTGGAAGCTCAAATTACGTAAAAATAAACAAATAAATACTTGAAATCGTTTAAATTGTGGACCCTGAATCTATCATCTATTAAAGATCAACTTTTTGAATAGAATTATGGAAGTTAAACAACTTTTCCATGATATTCTACTTTTTTTGGAAAGGGTCTGTATATATATGGCAGTGGCCATCTAGGATTCCAATGTGACAACCCTATTTTCGACACCTTTCTTATCCCGGATGCAGCCAGAAACCAAAATGGAAGTCGGTACCTCACATATTTTCCATGTTATCCAGCTCACAAGATGGACAGATGAATGGATGGATGGTATTTCCAATTTGTCTCGTTGCTTTGCAACAAGGGACAAATATCAAAATGAGGGATGACTCACGACTTTTAAGCAGTACAGTACATTTGCATTCAATGTATGACTGAACAGGAGTCCTGCTATTTATTGTCAGGCTATTTGCTGGTTACACCACAGTCATGGGCTTACAGACAGTTGCAGCTGCAGGCTAAAACACCAGACAAAACCCAGTATATTCTCAGATTGCAAATAATGCATTTTATTATTTTATTGCACCATTCTTACTGTTTGAATATGTAAATGACCGTAATTAACCCGGTAAGGATAGGTTTGCTTTCTAGCCCCTATACCCTGATCTCATCGTCTGAGTTTTGTTCAGTTCCCTGCCTTCAGACGTCTTTTTATACCACAACGTTCATGCTAATACAGCTGCAAAAATTAAACTGTAGAATAAATGAATAAAGCGGAGCCCACCATTTTGATGTGGCAAGGAATATTCAATTAGGCCTTGGCCTCCATAATTATTACATTAAAGCAAAGATAACTGCACAATGGCAACAAACACTTCGATGGACTCGGTTCCGTCACAACTGCGACAGCAGAGCAAAAATGAAAACGTCAGAACATGAGAGTTAAAAGGTGCAGAGAGGTAAAAAAAAATGAGAAAGTCAAAGGAGAATGTGACAAGAAAGCTATCGCAAAAGGAGCCAGTGTCTGCAGCAGCCATATTTCATTACACAGCACCAAAGCTTGGGAGGCAATCAAGCATATTTAGCCATCACCCCTCCCCTTCCTCACACACAACTCACCCCCTCCCCCGCCCCCAAGCAATTATTACTCCCCAGTTTTTTACTGTGCTTTGCCATGGGGAAAATGAACTGCGGTACTTATCAGCTCAATGCATACACAAGTGACTGGGACAGAGGACACGTAGGTGTGCATACTGTATGTGTGAGCCTGGGCATGCGCCGGTGCCTCTGTTTGTGTAGTGGTGCGCTGACCAGTGGTGGGCAATAAGTTACCTTTTCCCCCCATTCCCATTAGCTCAGTAACATCAGCACATTTAAGCACGGCGGGCGTGCCAAGGGGGGAGATACAGAGATAACCGTAAACATGTCACCCAAAAATGCGAAGTTATTTGCATTCATATTGGAAAGAGCCAAATTGATGCAGGGGTCAAACGAGGAAGGTTAGAGTTTATGACCTGTGCATAGCTCTGCTGTCAGTAGCTCTGATATATCGGACCGGCCAACACTGTCGGGCTTTAAGCCTGATTATATTATCACTGCTGACAATCAATGTGAATGAATGATTGTCGCCCCCCCCACCCCACCCCTACCCTCTCAAAGGAGTGAACAATGAATAAAGCATAGAGCAAACACTATCTTTTCTATAATTTACAGTGAATTCATGACGTAATCTAGTTAAATGGCAGACTCATGCATGATGCAACACAAAACATTTAAGATAGACTGAGAGGGTGCACTTAATGAGTTTTAAAATGATTTTATTAGTATACCTAAATAACTTAAAAGCTAGAAAACGCATTTGTCTTTTTTGAAATTTGACCTGTTAATGCTGTAATTTTGGCTGCCCAGCTGCCAACTGCAGCATTAGTTCCCGTCTGGGGACTGTTAGTTTGGTTGGAAGTGCTTCCCCATTTGTGAGACTCTTCATTTCTGGGCATCCTTCCCCCCAGCCTGTAAGTCAATGTCCCTCTATGAGTCCCGCAGGGCTGGTTTGTCATAATCATCAGCATTCTGCTTCCTCAATGGGCCTGATTTACAAGTCTGGACATGGAGTCAGATTTACAGCAAGGCGTAAACACTAAGTGCAGTTCTTCCCAGTTCATACAGAAGGGAGACTCATATT